GAAAATAATAGCTGCAAAACCAATAGGTAAACAACAGCATAGAAAGGTGCAAAAAGACCATCGCAAATAATCATTTGGTCTTGGGTCTACTAAAAGAGTCGTCGCTACAGGCTGGTTCCATAATATAATGGACATTTATGTCCTACTTTTCTGTCAGTTACTGGCCTTATAATATTTTTACACTCCTCGCTATGTGCCGTGTTTGAATAAAAAATAAACGCCACACCACGTAACTGACTAAAAACAAGTATTAAATGGGATACGGAGATTGGTCAGATTTGAGTTTCTACGAGTCGTTTAGAAATCAAGTTTGCTTTCAGACTGTAACTTGGTCAACTTGACAAGATCGAAAATAATACTCACAACGACGTTCACATTGTTTGTGTTGGTAGGTGGTGGGTAGTACCCCGGTGGCCCAGGAGGGTACTGCCCCATTGGGTATTGTCCCATGGGGTAATGTCCGTGCTGCTGATTACTATAAGGTGTAAGGTAAGCTGGAGGACCGGATGATGGATAGTAACTGTCATTTTCACCTTTTTTAATGGAAAAATTTAAAACACTCTTCACTTTGTGAATAAAATAACAATACTGATATTCCAATTTGTACAAAAATAAGTATAATTTATAGCACAAGTTTTATTCGTTAAATTATTGAAGTCACGAGGGGGCGTATGTTACATACTTGTAACATATTGATTGACAGGTGACGTATAGACAAGTGGATTGTTCTTAAAAACTACACGTGCATAACGAGCGGCGAACATATAAAAATAGGTCATCAGTTGATATATTTCAATTCGCGACGTACAGACGCAATGTCGCAGTGTTTATTTAATGATAACGACGATGAAGATATTATTCTTTCACAAAATTTAGACGATATAGAAAAGGAATTAGCAGTGAAAAATAATATTGAGAAAGATGTGGATTACGGAGAATTGAACCTTATTTCTACTGCAGAGGAATTTGTTAACGCAGAGATGGAGAAAGAATCTGATTGTGGTGAATTTAACGTAATTTCTACAGCCGAGGAACAAAGGTTTCAAACACAAGTATCTCAGGTTGAAATAGACACTTTAATACCTTCACAAACAAACGCTAATACCAGAAAGAATACTAAATGGTCACTAAATATATATTGCGGACCAGTACATTTCAATAATTGTAAATTTACTTTTATGTAAAGAAATACTGTTTATGAGATGTTGAAATAAACACTGTTTTGGAGTTCATTTATTTTGAAAAGTTGTCACCTTGAGTTAACAAGGTTTGACTTCAAGCCCAGTAAGACTAGGCGGGACCTTGATGCTTTGCCAAGACACTCCCCAAAAATGGCCACCGTGCAACAACTAGTGAAATTTCGAAGTTGTAGCACACCTAAGCCCCTCCCCATGAAAACTAATGATTGTAGCATGGGTATGAATAAGAAAAAATCTACTGCATATGTTACAATCTGAATTATTTGATTAATAAACGAAAATTTGAAGTCACAAGATACCTAATAGAACTATAACATTCTCACAGTACAAGAATTAAAATAAAACTAAATACCTGAAGCCATGATTAAAGTTAAATACTTTCTTCGAACTTTACTTAATTCAAATATGGCGACTTTTTCTTATAAGGAAGTTATTTGAA